ACTGAACATAACATATGTTTGCTTGTTTAATTTCCGCCTCAAAGAGCATTCTCAGATGATTTAAAGCCATTATGCAGTCTCCATCCTCCCAGCATTTCACATTCGATCCAACTATTCTTCTACTCAGTACGTATGAATGCTTCGATGCATTCCTCCTCAGGAAACGAGAATAACACAAATGTTCAGATAGCCAATAAGTGACTCCAGATGACACGGAATGGGTTGATTGAATATACCACAATGGCGTTTTCACTGGTTGCTCACCAACACGCTGCCAAACCAAGCAAGATCTTTCTGTAAGAATGACCACTGGTATGACCACAGCCGAGCTTTTACAAACAGTACGCTGCCACACAAAGCAAAATCTTTCTGGTTGAAAGATATTTATGCCCCAGTATATGACAAAAGGGCGAGTCTAGAGGTGCTTCAAAACCGGGAGCTTTTTTACGCAAAGGACGAAAAAAATTTTTTTCAGACAATGATTCCAAATTGGAGCTTGATGAACACAGAAAATGAAGTTACTTTAATGACGCATAGATGACTATTAACAGCCTTTTTGTCGACAATATACGCGCAACAAAATGTAATTTGGCATAGCTAATAAATAAATAAATACATAAACTAGTAAACTAATCGTGGATGAGTTCAGTCTGATTTTATTCGTTGTTACACTGCTGAGGAAAAATATTAGTTAAAACGAATTGCTTTAACGCACACACATACACACACACTCACACGAACACGAACACCCAGAAGGAAGACCATTGCCTGTTAAAACTGTCCTAATTATAAAAAATGAGGATATTTGTCAAAGTGAAGAGCTAAAGAATTTTAATTGTTTCTTTTCAGGTGTTATTTATGATATTAGTGGATCATACAAGCCAGCGTTTTTAACCATGGCTGCGCTATACTTGGTCAATGCACTCCTGACTGCATCCATCATCCTTATCAACAGTGTACAGAAAAAGTTAGCCAAGGTCGGATCAGTGTGTCGGTAGTCGCCAATCGGGGATGCCATTCAAACACACAAGTTATTCATAGTGGGAAGTTCAACTTCGGCGCGTTCAATGCAAATTATAACAGCTTTTAAAGTTTCAATAGTCAAAATCAAAGAATGAAGAACTCTTTTATAAATTATTGTCTTTTATTCCCCTGTTAAATTGAAAAGACAGCACCATATGTCACCAAATGTACACACAATTAGCAGTAGGTCATGTGTCTAATGGTACATGTGTCTACCGCGTACTGCAATTATCTCATGTAGACGGCGCGGCATACCTTCAGCAAGGCTATTGGTCTTTTGGTTGGATATTGTCCCATTCTTCCTGAAAAGCATGGCGAAGTTGTTCCTGATTATTAAGGGGTTGGTTCTCCTCTGCATTGCATACTCAATTCATGCCACAGGTGCCCAGTGGGGTTAATATCAGGGCAATGTTGTATTTGTGCAGCCATTTGACTTACGATGACGTCGACCCTGCCTCAAGCATTCAGTTAATAAAATGATAATAATAATAATACTTAACGATCCATACTATCATTGTTCAGCATTTGAAACCCAAGGACTTCGGCTTTTACGAAATGTACGCTAGTTACCATAGCATTAAAGAAGAATGGTAATGTCGTAGTTAATCATGCGCATGGACTTTTATATATATTGGATTGTGTCACATCTCTGTGGGGTCTTGTATCCACAATTTGTCCAAAACTGATAAACCATCTATCAAATCATCGGACTGAAAAGAAGATTAAGCTGTCAAGCGAATTATAATTGTATTTTTGAAAAAGTTCACTGTCGTTGCTATACTTTTCAAGATTGTTCAACTGAGCTTCTGCGCAGTACATTCAATCTTTTAATAAATAATTAGAACTGTGGCATTATTTCTTTGATTTTATTAATGCCCCCCCCCACCCCTCCCATTTAACACTCTGAATGATTGACGTTAAATGTAAATTTTCTAATTTTTACCGTCACAAGTAAAATTCACAAGTCAGTCTCCATTTACTGAGTGACTCAAAAAACACGAAATTTGTTTACATAACATTACATTGGCATACAAGATGACCACGGCGCTTATTTTACTTGGTGAAACGTTTCAAAGGGCCACTGACAGTCAAAGGGCCCCTTGTTACATTAAAAGGTGTCATATTTGTCCAACGAGCTATATTTTCAGGTCTTCCTTTTTCTCGTTTTCCAGGTATTTTGCCACGCAATATTGTTTGAATCAAGCTACTGTATATTCAACACCATGACGTATAAGGTGAAAAAGCCATCTAAGTTAATTTTTGATTATGGTCGGTAAAGATATATTTTCGCACGTGCCTTGAACATAATGTTTACGTAACGATGCGGTAAATATCAGATTTGACAAAAATAAAAATATGAACAGCTATTGAAAAATATTAATGGGTTTCTGTCGATACCTACACTGTTAGCTCGAGTGCTGAAATGTGCGGTCACCACAGGCGACACCTTGCGGAGGTAGTGTGCTCAATTTGTAGTGTAAACAAGGCAGCAAAGCTGTCAAATGTACAGACAAAAAACAGAAAATAAAGATGCAAAATAGGTCATTTTGTCAATTTTGATGCAATAATAAATAATGCTTATAATAGCACTGTCAGTCAACACTGAATTTTAATCATGCACAACAGGTACCATGGTCAATAACAGGAGCGAACCCAGAGATATTTTCTGACAGTATTCCAAAGTATCTATGTTGATCCATCCTCCATTTTTTTGGTCTTCCAACAGAAAAAAATAGATACCAGTCAATATAAACTTAATAACCTGACCGTCTTCCGGAAGACCCAGAAGATGGTCTCAATCCACCCCTTCAGTAAGATTACAGTTTCAGGACCATGAGAGTTCAAATTCTCATGATGAAAGTCTCAATATTTGAAAAATGATGACAGTGCANTTATACAAATTCATCAGTTCTGTAAGTTTCAAACCAAAAGGTAAAACGGTTTTCCACTTATCGTGTTTACGGTGTTGCATATATGCTGAAAAAAGTGAAAAAACAGCATAACTTCCCTAAAAATGGCCCGATCATGCTGATTTTCGAACTTGACCTGAATATTATGAATATTCATCAGTTCTGTAAGTTTCAAGTCAAAATGTAAAACCGTTTTCCACTTATCGTGTTTACGGTAAAAGTGCACGCCAACGGCAACGGCAACGGCAACGGCGACGACAGACGCAGGTGACGGCTATATGTACAGACACATCTGTGTCTGTACATAAAAAGGCCTTGTCACATTCTTTGTGTGTGTGTGTGTGTGTGTGTGTGTGTGTGTGCTTGTGCGTGTAAGTCCGGTTCAAGATATTTATGCACTCTCGCCACACTAATTCTAACCTGTACAAATCTTACGAAGGGCGGACTCACTATCACGCGGACCCTCAGTCACGCCGCATCATTTCACCTTTTATACATCAGCACATTCAGGCACAACTATCACAATGAGGTCTTCTCACCCAATGCATCGCATACAGCAACCTGATGATTGGGACTGCCACTGCAGAGATGTGCAGATAATTGTGCCCAACCTCATGTTTCAAGAACATATGTTTTTCCATTTAATGTTTATTTTTCTGATAAAGTACACGCTGAGAGGTGTATTTTATGAGTTTCAAGTCAATGAACTTACTACTGGGGTATATGGGTATTAACGGAGGGCTCCCAAGACTAGGCTGGATGCGGATTAGAAAGAACCACCTTTTTGGCCGAAAAAGAATTCCACTTTATATCACAATTTGATTTTAAACTATCATTTCTCAAGATGATTAACTAAAAGGGCAAAGGGGACCATATTTTCAAATATGTAACCGAACGTCCCTGCGCGGTCTACGGGAAGCGAGGGTGGGGCACGGTGCACGGAGGCATACCGGTGTGACAGGAATGGTAGTCCGTAAGAAATCGTAGTCCATAATCTTTGTACAGGTGACATTCAGGCGATATATAGTAACCCCTGTACTACGACTAACCCTAAGCTGCATTAATGATATAGACCCCGGTGTAACGGAACTGAGGGTCCGTGTAACAGAAAGTGCCCCCCCCCCCCCCCCCACACACACACACACACATACCTGTAGGGTGAGGGTCAGCCTGACCTAAGTGGGTCAAAATCTAGAGCATGGCTTTCCAGTACAAATGAATGGGAATCGAACTCTCTATCATGGGGGACTCTTTGTCAGGTAACACCAGACTTCCATTCCCAGGACTACCATTCATGTCAAAGCGGCAAAATTGTATTTACATGCGTGGGCTCCTACATAATTACATAAAAAAACATCACTGCGCCGTCTGAGTTTAAGTCAACAAGCAGTACAATCTGATAATGAAACAAATAAAGAGATTTCGCAGCTGCTTACAGAGTGGAAAAATGAAAGATAATAAAGGACATTACGCTGTAGGTAAACCACAAGTCACCTTCTCTGTTGACATCACGCTAGAACTCTGATGTGATGGCTTATAATTTTTACCGCTTTAGTAAAGTTAGACCTCCCCAAATTATCATGAAAATAGTTACAGAATAAAATAGATTGTATAGGCCGCCGTAGTTATATAACTTTTTATTTGGAATATGAATTGTCGGTTTTATATATCTGGAATCAAAACACGTACTTATGTGCCCCGATTGTCAGAGACAGAAGAATCAAACGTGAATAAGTCTATATGGTGAAGTTATAACAATATCATATCCATTATAGAAATATATCGATCTCTTATCGTCTTAGCTCTCTAACCTCTGATAATACAGTGTGCATGTAGTATTATGTGGGGAGAAAGGAGTACCGCCTGTACATGCCATACGATTACAAAACCAGTTATAGGACCTAAGTCAATGTTATTAGGCTCATTTTCGATTCGAATTGGGTCTTATACAATGTGATTGCACGCAAAGCCGTGATCGGAATTTTCCATCAGCTAGGTCAAATAGCTGGCCGGGGTTAGCCAATCGCTTAAAACATAGACAATGCTAACACGCCGCAAACTCAAGCGGTTCATATCGATATATCAAATGAATAAGCAAAAGTAGTACACATCTCCCAGTTATAAGGTGTGGGTTGCCCAGTTATAAGATTGTTTAGGTCAACGGTAAATTACCGACGATGTCTCTTTCTGTTTGTCAACCAAGAAAAAGAGTGGCTGTCATTGGAGCTGGAGCTGCAGGTGCGTTTTTGATAATAGCATATAGGGGTTTGCTATTAAAGGAAAGAAACTAGCGAAATAGAAAATGAACATTATTTTAATCTTAATTAATTTAATCGGTTATAGGTGGAAATGACATTATATAACCTTCTATGTGCACAGTTGCGACTTAACGTACAGGTTTAAATACCTTACTAATCAATTAGGTAAAATTCCACTTTGAATTAATATTAATTAGAGCAGAGAGCAGCAAAAAATGGTATTTCCTCTCTGTCTGTGAATTTGTTCTCTTTTGTAAACTGCTGTGGCCCTCACAACGTATAAGACGAAATAACCCCCAAATACTTATTGCTAACATTTGCATGCTCAATAATCACAGGGTGATGAAAAATCACTCGCACCCTTAGGTAGAAATACAGGTTAAAATGTGCCCTACTTTTTCCATTTCTTCCTACTCTTTTTAGTGGAAGGCTAGGATTATACTGAATGCTGTAATTAAAAATTTTATACTACGAACTTGTTGAATTAAGACTTCAAATTTGAGCAAAAGAGATGCACGACTTTTCGACTCGTCCTAATCCTCGGAAGAGAGCACTGTGATTTTGGATTTTTCCGTTCATAAAAATTTCGTTCTTCGGACTAGATATTTGTGAATGAAAAGTTATTCAACGACATACTTTTACGCTGACATTCCGAAATGAGTCTATTTTCTTTATGATGTAAGCTGCTAGTTGCCTACATTGCACGACCAGGAATTCTGTTACTCTTAATCATTGAACGCACGTTCTCCATTTCATTTGTCACTTTCACTGACCCGTTAACCATCTTAAAATGCCGCATTATGTGTGTGCTTTATATAATTATATAACAGCGGTCCTACTAAAATAACACTTTTCAGGCAAGACTAGTACAAGTTTGTGAAGGAAGTCTGGCCAGTTATCTTTCGTGACTTAATTAAAAGTATCTTAATAATTCGGGAATTTTGCGAACTTTTCTCGTATTAAAAATTCCTCTTACTCAAGAACCATTACTCGACCTTTCTTGTGCTCTGCCTTAAGGGACGTACAAAATGACTTTGGTCGCCCTACCTAGTGCGCGTGCACTAACTCCATGGAGACTCTCGCTGAATGCAATCAAATTAAAAGATCAACGCGCCGCCTGTTACCTCCAATGTATTCGTATACATGTAATCACTAGCTTCTCTATATTCTTCTCAACGCCATCTGCAAACAATTTCGCTGATATGTAATCATTGCTTGTTGAATTAATACAATGAACATTTATGTAAAAACCACCGTAGGAGTTACGAACATTTAGATAAGGACAGAAAGAATAAACTAAACTGACAAAAGAAATTTTTTTCTTCACTCAAATCACACAAGAGGGCAGACTATATCATTTAATATCATAACCCTTGACGTATTAAAACATTCCCAGGTCTTGCTGCCCTGCGCCACACAAGTTGCCGACCGGAAGTGTTCGAGGTCATGTGCTTTGAGCAGTCTGCGGTCATTGGAGGAACATGGGTGTACAACGATGACGTAGGGACGGATCAGTATGGACTTCCGGTTCATTCCAGCATGTATAAAAACCTCAGGTACACATGAATGTTTAAGCTGAGCAACACTTGCATCAAAACATTCCTCATTTTTTCTACCCATTACAAAACAATACTAATAATGCGTACTGAACGTAACAGATATATTTTCTAATTTTCAAGATTGCGTTTGAGATGGGTGGGAAGGAACAATTTCATTTTAGATGTAAGCCCACCTCTTCTCCTGCCATATTCCCACTCGAATTAGATCTTTGAAATAGATTTTAGAATAAAGGCAAATGAATGCATTTTAAAAAAGAAAGAAAAGAAAAAAAAGCAGCGTTTTCATAATTTTGGAATCTTTTTCCATTTATCAGTTTTAGCCCTCTAACAGTTCGCCTTCTCGGCCTTTAAAATTTATTAATATTAATATCGCTCTTAATGTGTTTATTCACAGAACCAATTTGCCGAAAGAAGCCATGGCCTTCCCAGATTTTCCGTTTGAAAAGGATGGACGATCATTCCTTAAACACGAAGAAGTACTGGATTATTTGGAGAGATATGCCGACCATTTTAATCTCAAGAAATACATTAAGGTGAGATTTTTAAAAAAATCTACAATTTATCGGAAAATGTTTAAATGGTAAAGGAAACTATGATGACAATGAAAAATATACGTATGAAAAAATAATATAAAAAGGAATATCAGATAGAATTCAGAATATTATGTCCGTTCTTAACTTTACCCAATAATGTTGAATGTTAATGTTCTAAAGTAAATATCAATTGAGTGTGGAGAAATGGACGTATTAAAGATTCTTTCAGTTTTTGACCGAAGTGAAGCACGTGGACCCAGTAAAGGATGGGCATGGTGGGGTCACGTGGAACATCAAGGTCAAGGACGTTAGGGTAGCAGACGACACTTCCGATTCATCTTTTGTAGCTGATGCTGTGATTGTTTGCAATGGGTATGGTGTTTTGGGGAGAATGCGTATTGTACAATGGGAATAAAAAAGAAAAAAACATTCGCAAAATTAAATAGCGGACACTTGGGATCTAAATCATCATCTCCAATCTAAAAAAAAAAGGTTATATGTGTCTGTTTAAAATTTTTTGATGAAAATTCCTAACCAACCAGTTTATCTGCAGCGTCCTTTCACAGATTTTCCTGAACAAAGTGTTACGTAAAAATGACAGCGAACGATTAAAATTTTAGGAGCTGGAAAGCGAAATGACTAAAAGTAGAAGATTATCAAGATAACTCTGAAGAAGCTGGATAAATTAAAGGCACATTTAGAACTAGTTGATCCGCGGACTAACAGAACCGCGGATTATATACGACCGGCCCACTTGAAAGCTAATCCCCTGAAACGCACTAAATTGATTTCCCGGGGGGCGCTACGTTGCAAGCTTTTAGTGAGCCGGCCACATTTGGGGCATGGATCTGTTAGTCCGCGGGTCAACTTTGGTTGCAAATACATTTTAAGTGTCAAGCACTAGTAAGACCAAAATCATACTTTCAGGAGAGGTCCAATGAAAAATATGCGATATTGTCTAATAAGCTTAAAGAGAGGCACGTGCCAGCAGACCCCCCCCCCCCTTTCCCTGGAACCCCAATTGCAGATAAATTCAGAAAGTTAAAAAAAACTAAATTTTCAATGACTTTCATATATTGATAAATTGATGCAACATGTTCACGCCGACGATAGGGCCTACAGACTCTGATGTTGGTTATTGATGTATGTAGATCTTTCAATGTTAAGTCAACGTACACAAATGGGGACTTGATGGGAAATGGATTTTAGATGTCTTGCTTAAAATAAGTTAAGGTAATATTTTCTCTTGTTTAGTTTTGAAGACTTTAAGATGATCATTTTTACTATCTATTTTCAAATATAATGTTTTGCTTTTCACGTTTTGAAATATTTTTTTAAAATTCATACAAGTTTCATCAACTGTACACCAGACACAATGTGTAATATTTATTATCCGTAGAATTATAAATTAGATTAAGGTATAAGGATTAAGGATTTGGGACTCGACTTCATGGTAAAATGCAGTATAAAAAACAAATATATGAAATGGTTAGTACAGAAGCCACCCACAAACAATATTGCGCGCGCGTGCATATATATATATATATAGAGAGAGAGAGAGAGAGAGAGAGAGAGAGAGAGAGAGAGAGAGAGAGAGAGATTGTGTTAAATCCCGAAAAAATGACTGTGTTTACTGACGTCTAACGTGGGACAAACGCAGAGTGCTATTTGATAAATTACGTGCTAGCAGACAGAGAGAGAGAGAGAGAGAGAGAAGCAGAGAAAGGGAGCGTTTATCATTAACTATGCTGTGTATGATAATGATAATTTATATTTCAGCCACTACTCTGTTCCGCTCATCCCAGATTTCAACGGATCGCTCACAAAATTTGAAGGTCAGGTGATCCACAGTCACGACTACCGTGTTCCGGAGGCGTTCGCCAATAAAGTCGTCTGCTGCGTCGGGTGCGGTGCCTCGGGTCAGGATATAGCCCTGGAGGTGGCGAGCAAGGCAAAGCAGGTCAGTATGAGGTTCATCCCTTTCAGACTATCACAGAATCTGCTTCATCTACATTTAAACGACGTTATGATTTACTTATCAGTAAAACCATTCACAATGACTGTTTTTCACAATGAACTTGCTGAAAGACAGCGAATATAAAGTAAAAGATGGCCACCGTATGAGACACCATATGATACACCTATTTTTGGGCGAATAAAACGAATTTCGTCCAAGGTTTTATTTAGAAATATAACAAGGTGGGCCTGCATAGGAAAAATTTTAACTTTATATAAACCGGTAAACGTAAAGAGCGGGAATCAATTACAGAAATCGGTGGAAAATATGGAAGGCTGTATGCACTGAAAAGAAAATACGCACAAAATAGAGATTTGTAGATACTGTCATACCGTATCTGTTGAAAATATGTATTACTGAATAATAGCCAAAATCAGTGAGCACGCATTTGTAAATTAAAACTTGTCATATTTTGCTGTTACAGGTGTATCTGAGCCACAACAAACCCGCCTTGTCGACAAGTCTCCCGGACAATCTCAGCCAGACATCGGGCATAGTCGAGCTCACCGTCGACGGCGGTATGATGAAGAATGGACAAAAACTGGAATTCGATGTTCTCCTACTGTGCACGGGGTATCACTACAGCTTTCCCTTCCTATCAGCCAACTGTCACGTTAATATCGACGATGGCCGCGTGACACCGCTTTACAAGCATATTGTTCACACTGAGTTCCCTACTCTGTTCTTTATCGGGATCTGCACCAAACTCTGTCCCTTTCCACAGTTCCACAACACCGTCAAGTTCATCTTGGCAACACTGGACGGCACTTTTCAGCTTCCATCCAAGGAGGACATGATGGCTGAAGAACAACGAGAATTTGAGTGGCGACTGAAAAAGGGATATGCCCACCGTCACGCTCACCTAATGGGCCCGTTACAATGGGACTATTTTAATGAGCTGGCCGACCTCGGGAAATATGAGCGCCTTCCCAAAGCTGTGCAAAATCTGTTTGACGAGATTCATCGCACCCGTTGCAATGATTTGCAAAACTACAGGAACATCAATTATCAGATCACCGGACCCGATACTTTTGAATTGCGTTATTAGTTTAAGCAGTGGACAGGTCATTCAATTTAAAAAACAGTAAATTTAAATGCCAATTATATTGGGTTTTGGTGAGGAAAATATGCATCATGTTTTCCATGTTAGGTTGTGACTTCTTATGAGTCTAATGCGTTGCTACAGAACTGGCAAACTGATATGTACATCGTCTTCCCTAAACTTTAGTTATTGTTTTTGGCTTTTCTTGCAATTTACCTCCCGAAGAATTATTATATTATATTATGGGATATAATATCGTTATATATATATATATGCAACATGTTTTCCGTGTTACTTCTTATGTGACTTTTTATGTGTCTAGTATATCTATAAAGTAATAGACTTCCGCTTTTGAAAACGAAAATAAGAAAGCAAGAAGATTATCTCGTGTGTTGTCTCTGTATATGGTTAAAGGTAAATAGAGATGTTGTATCAGTCATTTTATCTCATAGCGTAGCTGTAACGTCACCGTTTTTATCAAGTTTGCTGTGATTTTTATTTGTATAAATTTGAGGCACAACAAGTATAGTCTACAGAGATCATAGTCCTTTTCCTTCCGGCTTGACAAAATTTAACTGCTTTTTTGAGAGCAAATTGACATTTGCCAGTTTTATTTGAAATAAAATAGAGAAATTTCATAAATGCTTTTCTTTATGCCTTACCTAGATATCGAGAACTCCGAATTTCGCAACAGAGACTTACAGGCATGGAAAGGGAGGACACTGTCGAAAATAAAAAAAGGATTACACAAAGGACTGTGTAACTGTCATGAGGGCGACGTGCCCTTCCTCCACTTTTTTGTGGGTCTGTCCTTGTTGCGAAATTCGGATTTGTCGGAAAACTTAACAGCTTTACAAACAAAAACCAATTAAAAGACAACGTCACTCTGTTCCTTAATTAATGACATTTCTCTTCAAAATCGTTCGACCGCAATCCATTCGATAACATTTTCACTCTGCATCTCTTATTTTGAATTTTCTATAATATGCACTATTGTTGGTTGTTAGAATAGTTTTAGATAAGACGTAAAAAGCATTATAGTTCTGAAAAGGAACAATGAATTTCACAGTTACGGCGGTTACCACCCTACATGTATATCCACATGACAAACATTATAACCATGTATGTGAAATAGTGGTTTCGTGTACAAATTAACTTAAAATAGACAATTACGGTAATTGATAATGCGGATCTTGTCTTGTCGAGCTCATCGCATCCAGTTCTTTTATATTGGTAATTGCATGTATACGTACATACAATATGCATTACAACATCCTCCTTGTTGTATTGTGGACTGGTACATTATCGCAAAAAATGAAAAAAATGCATGCACCATGAAGGACACGGGTTTGAATCGTCCATGCACCATTGTTGCTGAAACCAGAATAGTTTACAGTACAAGTAGATGCAGATCTGCCAATTTCACTATAGATCTTTATCCTTTTTTTTTTCACCTCAGTCTGATGTAATCGGGTCTTTCCTGTGGAATTCTTGTGACCAGTGGGAAGATGAGCGAAAAAACAACGCTTAAAGAGACCAATATACCCAGGAAACTTTCCAATTGAGAATTGCCACTACAGATGTCCCCCAAATTAGACAAATGCCAATCTACAAAGAAAGGTAAACAATTTTTTATCTATAATTATAATATACAGTGACTGACCTTAACTGTAACCTAAACTAATTTTCATTTTCGTATAAACAAAGAAAGACAAGCTTACATATAGGTGCTTTCATACAGGATAGAGATGAACGAACTAATCGCCTTCTTCCAAAATAAACCTTAGTTATAAATTTACCAAAATATACGTATAAATTCCACATCTTATTAAGAAGCATCACATCTCTGGGACATGTCGATCAAAAGTTAGACCCATTTTTAATAACATCAAAGTTTTATTATTTAATAACCAGTTTTCTAACCAAGATTTAAAATTATCTATTATAATATACAGCACTGGTCAAAAAGGTTGTCCCACCCCCATTTCCATGTATTTTTATTTACAAATGATCAGCTCACAGGTGTAAATAGTGCTTTTTATTCCAGATACCATGTCTAACATGATAAATTGTTAAAAAAAATACAAAATAGTAGTGAAAATATACACATTTTATACCATTTAGTCAAATTTATAACAGGTACCCCCTCAAATCCAATGTTTCACTGTGATTTCTACAGATGTAAAGAAGTGTATATTTAATTGAAAAGACGCCATCAAATGTCACCAAATTTACATACAATTAGCATTAGGATGTGCTCATTAAAGGCCACGTGCCTAATAGCGTGTGCGTCTACCGAGCACACGAACGAAACGGAGTGCCTCGATATGAAACCAGACAACTTTTTTGTTTTTAATCTCCAAATACTTTAAAAAATCAATTAAGTTAATAAAAAGGCCGGGAACAAGAACTTCTTAAATCGTACATTTTATATTAATGATTATTAAAGATCATAATAATAAAAGAGTCGCATTTCAATTTACTCCATGCTATAGTCTTTATTGAAAAGTAGCAATTTTTACGAGATTACAAATTGCATCGTATTGTTTGGTTCCATTGCCTCGCTTTCAAAAATTAGAACTGGCGCTGCAAAACCGGGAGACGAAGTTAAAAAATTTATAATGGCCGAGTTCGCCCTGGAAAAAGAATGTCCTCGCAGCATTATCTGCAATTAACCTTCCTACGATTTTAAATACATTTTGCAACGTCATTTTCAATCTGGCACATGGCGCATTTTATGTATCAAGAGTGGGGGAGGGGTGAAAAATCCCAATTGGGGCCACATATATAACACTATAAATACAATGGGGATCCCTTTGTAATGAAGCTAAAATAAATGTTATTCTAAGGAATTCCGATGGATTTACTTTTTAAAACATAAAATCAATTAAACATTTCTAATATAAACTTTCAAAAAGACACCAGAGAGCAAATGAAATAAAATCAACCAGACGGTAAACACCGGCAGGCTTTGTCAATTTCACCAACTTGTTTATTTCAAACAGCGCACTTTTCGTGCATGCGCAGTTGTTTGAAGCCTGTGCTCGTCTACCGCGTACTGTAATTATCTCCTGTAGATGGCGCGACAAGCCTTCAACAAGGGTAATAATTCTGTTTCGTGGGATATTATATAATATTCAAGATGGCTATCTTACCCGGAGTTTTTTTCACCAAAGCCTCAATTCCAACTGCAATAAAATATGAAAGTCCCAGTGCTGTCTGGTGTAGGCCCATGCTGAAGCACTTTATTCCATCGGGGGCTTCCATATAAGAGTACTCCATCACTGAAAATATGCACAGGTTATCTTCTGTATATTTTGTATGTTCTGTCTTTATTATAAGAGCATTATACGGGCGGCGGCAAGGGGCATCTGTGCCATATATGTACATATAAATCCCTTCATGCAAGCTACAGGGGGTGACAAAAGTACTGCACCATTTGCTTGAAATTGTAAATTCCATGGTTACGCGAGTAATAAAACGCGAATTTCTTCTTACAAACGGGTCTCCATGTTACATAGCACACAATTCACACGGATGATGTAATTCTTTGTAACTCCCTGTAGCTGTTTTTTTTTTCACTTGTAATGAAAACACGCTGACCAAAAAAAAAGTTGCAACGTACCTTTACCCTCGTGCTTCCCTTCTACATTGTACCTGTAACACCACCACCACCACCACCACTACCAAACACACAGAAACACACACACCGCCAACCAAATATATAGAAAAATGCTGTGGACATGTGAAGTGAATCTTGTGAATGAAGTAAACATTCGGACTTCCAGTCTTTTGGAATCAATGGTTGGAGTCAATGGCCACGATTTAAGACGTGAACAAAATGGTTTCTTTGAGTGACATGGACGAAAATGTGAAATCCTGTCTTCACATCCTCAGTATTCTAAAGTGATACCACGTTCAAATAAAATATGTAAACGAAACATGTCACGAATAAAAAATGATCGTCTTTTAGGTACGAGGAGGACGGGTATTAGTACCTGTGAACCGAGTGTTCTATGTAAACGATCACCATATGTACAGCGCGCGTATATAAACTTAATTTACATTATGACTTAAGGTTAACATCTCGATTTCAAATGATGGAAGAAAGCAAACTGTAACTGAAAAAATAACCACCGGTTAGCTGCTTGAACTCACCAGTGAGTGTTGCCGTGCTCCTACAAATGTAGTCATATTACCGAAAAATGTACTTGACAAGAAATATGATTGAAAAAAAATCTAGAATGAAAGACATGCGTCAAAGTACCTGTAAGCTGCGTGAAAACTTCAGCGAGTGCAATCAAAGTGTACTGAGGTCCTTGGGCAAATATACTGATTGTGGAACAGCCGTGGTTGTCTTTTTTCCGAACTGTCTCTAGTATGATGGCGACTAACCCAGAAATGATGGAGAAGACAACGCCAATAGCTAGAAAACAATGATAATGGTAATATTAATTTCTTGAAAAAAAGTATAATAAGTCTATATAGTATGTGCACATTACAGTTATATGACATATAAGATATAAACTTTCTTTAAATACTGTGCAGTACTACAAATTATACAACCTTGGCATAAAATTAAGTTGAATATGCATGTACTAAAATGCAAAAAGGGTGATAAAATGCATAAATCAGCATCAATCATAAAAGAACTTTAAAAAGTAAATTTTTAAAAGAACCCTAAAAGACTGCCATAATCATTATCGGCTCTAATAAGTAAAACTCTAGTTATTCAGAGTAACTACATTTCTAGTATTATATCAATTGAAAAAGAATAAATGTTGAAATAAAGTTTCTCTGAAAAAAACTTTGATAAAAAATGAAATGTAATTTTAAAACGATTTTCAGGAATTTCCAATAACAGCTACATCTCATTGTTTTAATAGTTTAATCATTTATCAGTTACTATTTACATTTTGTGCATTTTTATGAACAGAAGTTTAGAAGAGCAGTAAACGAGAGACAGCCTCCAGCAGGAAACATGAAAGAGCTCCAGCAGGCAGTGA